TCAAACTATTGGCGATATTTTTGTGTACGACTGTCGCGCGTGAACTACCGTAATAATTACTACATGCAAAAAACTCATTTTAAATTGGTCGGTATTAGATACCATAAGTATTTAGTATATTTACCAGTAGTAAAATTGTTTACAATTCAAAACCCATTGGTTATATTTAGGCAGTACCCTGCGCATATGGAATCATTATTATGTTCCTCCATAATCCAAGGGGGTTTATCGTTTTCATTATTTTGTCTTGAAATTGTATCCTGATATTTCGAAAGAAGAGTCACTTCCATGGTTTTATGCAATATTCAACATTTTAACTGACAGTTGGCAACGTTGTAACCATTTGCAATTATTATACAGGCTCCTTATACGTACGAATAATTAACAATATTTTCATATCAATTTGCTTCTAAATGCCCAATTAAACGAATACATGAATTTCTTAGAATACTGAAGACTTTTACGTAAAAATTATGATGCGATAGCTAATTGTACAAAAAAGGCTTACCAAAATATGAGTGGCATGTCACGACGCTTCTGTCAAAAATAAGGGTAGCTTAGATATTAGATTTAAAAGGAGTTTGACATTATGTGTCTGTGTCCACCGCGACCTTTTCAGATCTATTATGGGACTCCGTTTGTTTTAGAGTATGTCATCTAAGCTTGGGCTTTTTTATTAAATTTATTTTCCTTGACTGTGGCATCCACATGCATGTAGTTACATGTGTCTGGCTTTTCTTCATCTAGTATAAGAAATCTGAATCTAGTTAGGCTTTCACATTGGTGCAGGACGTGGATTGATGTTTCCTTTTCTAATTCACAGAACCCGAATAAATTAAAAAAAAAAAAAAGAATAAATTAGAAAATATCTTAGAATTTAAAAATAATTTAATTTTGTAAAAGAAGTGAAAACTTACTTTTTAGAAGAAAAAAATAAATAAATAAATACCTTGGGAGATTCTACTTCTATTACACACCAACTATGGTTGCTTATTACATTGTTCTTACTTCTTTTTTGCAAAAAAACGTAAAATGTATACGTGTATTTGATACGCCAAAATTACAAAATATCGCCCTAAAGTGGTTGAATTATCTGCAGTTTGCGCTAGTATCGCTTTTGCTTCCCCTACCATAACTTCGCAATGAGCGAATATAATCATCATACGTTCCCACATATACATTTTCTATACTACTTCTCTCAACGAAGTACGTACTAAAAAAAAATTATAAGTTTTCAATAATGGATTTAGTATAATCAAAAAAGTTTACTTTGTGTTTATTAAACTACAACTGGGAGACAACAGTTCTAAGCTATTTTTTACAGTATTTTAGACCTCAATAACACTTAGTTTCAGAAACGAATTGTTTAACTAGGTCTAAGTAGACGTTTGCAATAAATACTTATAAATTACCTTTTACCTATATCAATACGAAAGTATGTATATAAAGACACTTGTTTACTTTTTCTATTAGCAAAACATTGGATTTCAAATAAAATGTTCGATTTTATTATAGCTAAATAAATCTTCATGTGAAAAGTGATCTGAACAAACTTTGGCATCTTTCAGTTTTGAGATCTTGCTCATTTATTTTTAAGTTGTTCAGCCACAATGACATTAGACAATGTCTCTCGGAAACGTGTAAACGTATATACCATAAAATAGCCAGTTTCTACAATTAGGTATTTTTATATCAAGAAATCAAAAAAACCCTAGCACAGTTGTTACGCCCATGGATATCTACATTATTTACATTTCATGAGATTGATTTTGACATAACCTACCTGTGAAAATAGGTTTTGGGTGTTTTTGGTCCAAAATGTTCAGAAAACTATGCATCTCTTTACTATTTTGAAATGTATAATTACGTTTGTAAATAATTTCTTTCATATAAATAAATAAAACAAGAATATTTCACTAAAATAAAACACCGAATGACATGACACTTTAAAAACAAAACCTACAAAAACAGGGTTGCCAAATGTCCAGTTAAAATATAGTATTTAATGGTTAAACCGATGGATCGTAGTGAACAAAATCTAAAAACATCTAATTTCAACACCGATTCAATGCAGAAGAAAATTAAATGAGAAATTTTATGAATATGATCCAGATTCCTAAATGAACTGTTAAATATTAAGCTCCATATTAAGTATTTCGAACCTTGAAACATTGGGAACTAATAATTATTATCCTTATACGTTTAACCGAAAGTGACACTGTGGCAACCTCTGCTGGTACCACCGTTTGTTGTGCATGCGATTGTGGACCTTATTATCATACGACAATTGTTTATGTAAACAAGGCGTATCTATTCCAATACATTATCGAATATTTCATACAATTAGGCATTCCAACGACCTGTCAAACAATAGGTGCCAGTGGGAAATTCTTGTATATTTAAGGGGGTAGCGACATAGTCTTGCAACTTGGACACTATTTTTATTCGAAGTAGTACTCGCCAAGCCTGCCAATTTATGAAAAAATGTATAGGTGGGTTTTTTAAATATTATTTTTATTGTGTTTGACATAAAATATTTAAATGTATTCCATTATTCATGATTTTACGTAAAGTAGATAGAATACACCATATGTCGCCACCCTTAGATATACCAAACCTGCCCACTGGTAATTCATTTGTTTGGAATGCCTAATAATCAAAGGCAGAAATCTAATCCTTGCTGAACATTTAAGAGTTAAGGGATGTTGAACAACATTGTAAAATAATAATTTTTATTGTTTTTTTTCAATTTTCTGATGTCTACTATTTTAAGTATTACTGTTATTTCGGTTTTTTCTTCTTATTGTACAGCTATCCATTTATTTCTTTGATTTAATTTGCAATTTGCTACTGAAAATTTATATAATTTACACTGTTTTTTCTACTAGTATTTTTACATAGCAACTGCTATTGCTTTTTGTTTGGTTTTTACCTAGCAGTAAGTAAAATGAATAGGTACGTGTAAGATATGGATATGGAATAAATATATTCAACCTATAATATTCGTCAACTGTATTAGCCTGAATATTATTTCTATGAGATTGCTATCCGTAATTCGTGGCATTTAGAATTCTACACCTGTCATGTTTACCTATTTCTTCTATTTCCTCAAACAGTTCAATCAAATTAAAAGGCTACCTAACATATTATGCCTTGTGTTTATTGTTATACGAGCACGGCGACAATCGACAATATGAGCCAGTGCTAGTTGTGTAACTGTTTAAGGCTGTATGTTACAATACTAAATTAAGTATTAAATTTAAAACTAAATTAATGCATTTTTTTAGTACTAAAAAAATTCATGTGCAAACAGCAAATTTAGTATTAAATTTAGTACTAAAAAAATATTTAATTAATTGGAAGTTGTTCTATTTTCTACTAAATTTAGTATTAAAAATACGTTGAAATGTTGCGCAGAAGTTTTTCTTAGAAAAAGTTGACAGAACGGTCTTTTGCATTATCGCCTTGGACAAATTTCGCTTGTGTTTGATTTTGTAGTTTTCATTGTTTTTTCGTGGTTTTTAGTAGCATTGCTGCATTTGGTTGTTGTCAAATCAACTAGTGTCAAAGTCATAATAAAAACATCTTTTAATTCACTTGTCTCATTTACACAGAATATTTCATTTGTTCTAATTTCAGGTAATAATACGTCAATGCGCGTGTGAATATACTTAATTTAGTACTAAAAATTGGTATTGTTGCAAAAGGAAAAAATATTTTCAGTTCTACATTTAGTACTAAATTAATAACTTAATTTAGGGCTAAATTTTAGTATTGTGACGCAACCATTACGTGTTGTAAAGTCGTAAAAGCCAGAGGGGCAACTGCCCCCCTTGCTCCCCAAACGACGTCCATGCTTACCGAATAAAGTAGGGCCTTTTACCACAGAAGAAAGAACAATACAGAAAAGAAAGTAATGGTCGGAACTTTGAAGTTGAAGGGATAGAAATATTTGACCTTGAGTTCCACCACAGAAATACAATGTTTCATACATACCTCACTGGATCTTTCACAAGAGTGAACAATTCTTCTTTGTCACCTGTTCTTGAGGTACATCCACGATAAATACAAGTCAAGTATACCCTTCTCCTCTTTGACGCGGCATTGTTTATAAACCTAATCTTAATACGTACAATAAAGTCTTAAATGAACACTCCACAATTAAAAACAGTAACAAAAACTAAAAATAAACCACTAACAAAACGTAAAAGTTATTAGAATATTCGCTAAAACAAAGCAAAAATCAAACACGACAAATAAAGACGACAGACAAAAAAAATATTGACAGCGACAGCAGTGACAGCTTCGTTCATCTGCTACAAAAGTGTGCACTGTTGCACTTCGAACAAGTAACAAATCTACGATTCACTTTTGACAATGCTCCACCATAAAGAAAGTGTGGCTTCGGTTGCTAGGTTCCTGTTTTAGCCCTTTCTGTATCGTTCTTTATCCTGTGCTTTTACTAACTGTCGCAAATCCACAATGCGTGTAATAAAATTTTTAAAGCAATACTTGATATAAAATATCTGATGAAAAACCCTCTCTTTTAGGGGTTCTAGAAAATTCAAAATATATGTTTATTTTTTTTAAATGAAAGCCACATGGCCAAAAATCCAACCTCCAAAAAAGAACATGAGAAAAAGAAACCAGAAAGAGATAGACAACCAGAAGATGTAAGTACCTGATGTATGATGGCTAAACTGCCAATAAACAGCCTAATAATAACTGACGTAGTTATCCAAATTATAAATAATTAAAGAGAAGAAGAACTAACAAGGTCATGGTCAAGATTTGACATGTAAATAAACAATATACATATGTTTAGGTTAATTTTAATAAACGAATAAAATACTGTTAAGTATTATTTATAAATTAAGGTGAGTTTTAATTATTTAAATTTTTACTACAACCAAATTATTGGTAAGATTATTTTCTGACCCGTAACAATAACATATTAAAAATTACAGTTAAACTAATGCATATTTGATTTAATCAATCTATTACAACATATATTTATAAAAGCATTCAAATTTTAATTTTTTTTCCTGTGATTCCCAGTACTTTAGTCTATCATTCACGACATTGAGTAGTCGGTATTTTCTGCCACATGTTCCGAGAAAATCATCGGTGTCTAATGACCAAATCATTACTCCTCCAAGTCCTTTGGAAACAGCAAAATCAACTTTTAATCCTATGGATATTTCATCCTCATAACCAATCCAAGTATCGTCAACAACTCTGTGAGGCACTTTTTGATCATCATCCCAATAGTAAATTGAATCTGTACCAGAGTAGTACTGACAAATCTGAAACGAAAATATTGTTCGGTTGGAGATAATTTATAATTATTTCACGTGTATTAATTATGTAAGTTTGTGCTTAATTCTCTTAAGATATTTTTCTTACCTCATTATAACCCAAGGTACCGTCCATACGAGTATATCTTCCTTTGGGTCCAGCTCCAAGAACTGGTGCATACAGTTGAGTATTTGCCTTGTCTTTCAAAGTAAATGTTCGACCATATGCTGCAAGTCCCATGTTAATTTTAGATGGGTCAGCATTTTTGTATATCCAATAATCCACGGCAGTGGCCTGAAATGTGTTTAAAAATATTTTTATAGACTAAACAATTACGGAAGAAAGAACAACTGTTAAAAACTAAGTGAATGCATTCTACAGAATCTAGTAGAGATAATGTTGTAAAGAAATAAATTATGTTCAAAGACAAACGGTTATCATATAGGAAATGCCAACGATTTAGACATTCAACTGAAAAATTATATTCTTAAATTAGAGATTAGCTCATAAAAAGGTCAAAATTAGGTAGACCAAATACAAATATTTCTTTCTTTGTAAATTTAATTAAAAACTAAATAGATATTTGGCGGAGGAAAACAAATTAATAAAATTTTTAAAAATAATAAATAACTATCTCACAATCAAGGACATCAAAAAGGTCAAACGGAAATCGTGGAAGAAGTTCTGTCAGATTGTATCAGATTTACCTTCAAACACCAAACTCTACAACATTCTCGCCAAATATTCAAGACAGGAGGTCGGCTCGAAAAAAAGACCCGCTGACATCCATACGGAATCTGACAAGGAAACGTTAAAGCAAGCCTAACGAGGAGCTACATCCCGCTGCGGTAGACGATGGCGAAAGTTGTGTATATGCACAAGGCTGGTAAAGAAGATATCTACCAAACTTCTATCGTCCATATTAGAGATTGAAGCCTTCGGGCAAGCCTGTTAAACTACTTCCAACATACTTACCAAGCAGGTAAATCAACATATGCCTTGCACAATCTAGTAGGCAAAATCAGCCGTTCTCTAAACCTTGACAAGATTACGCTTGGTGCCGTCCTAGACATAGAAGACACGTTTAATAACGCGCTTCTGCAGTCTATGTTCGCTTCTATCAAAAGAAGAGGAATCGACAAACTGAATTGTAACGGGATCAAAATCATACTTGGAAACCAGAACAATTTCATCACTGTAGGGAGAGGGGTCACTTTCAGGCCTGTCAGAGGATGTCCATAAGGCGACTTATTTTCACCCCTATTGTAGGAGGTTTTTGTGTAACACCTACTGGACGATATCTCTCGATACAAAGTAGATTTTAAATCCTATACGGATTATCTGTTTATCGGCATTAGGGGGAATAATGAAGAGATGATCTTTAACGTCCTTTAACCTAAATACGATTTGTTTACTCCCGGAAAACTGTTATCATCCCCTTCACTAAAAGTAGAATATTCGACAAGCTTCGAGAACCTACCTTGGCCGGGGAAGATGCGGAGAAGATGAAATATCTGGTAATTATCCTACGAAAAAAACTCACCTGGAACCCTCAATTAAAAAAACCATCAACAAAGCCAGATTATCTTTCTGGACCCTCAGAAGGATATACGGCAAAGTATGGGGATCAGTCCTTAACTGATCTACTGGATTTACCAAACTGTGCTAAAACCCTTGATAACGTACGGCTCCATCGTCTAATGAGACAAGGGGCTTCAACAGACGACCAGAGCTAGACTACAGCGGCTTGCATGCCTCACCATCACTGGAACAGGTCAACCATACCGACGGAAGCCGTGGGGACCATGCTGGTAATCCATCTTCAGATTTTACTGGAAAGAAAGGCCAGGATGGTTTCCGATAGACTCCTAAAGGTGGACAGTCAATGCAATGAAAAACTGCGTTGGGAAAAAATGGAGCTGATGAGTAATATTAATATCCACCACATCTTCGGCTGATCTCAGACCCGCTAGTTCCCCGACAACATAGAAAATTCATACAGCCACCCCTCACTATAGAGAGAGATGTGTGGGATAGGGAGGATAAAACCTTCGCTCAGGCTGTACACGAACGGCTGTAAAATTGAAAAAGGAATAGGAGCGGGAGTTTTCGGCCAGAAGTCAAAAATTTACACATAAAAAATCTTGGCTTTTTGGTTACTATCTTCCAAGCAGAAATGATTGATATATAATTGAAATTGGGAGACTTGTATAATTTTCTCCCTGAAAACACGATTACAGAGATCTTTTAGGACAGCCAGGCAGCCCTCAAGGCCCTGAGCTCCAATCGAATTAACTCAAAGCTAATTTGGAACTGTATAAATACCATCGACTGTACCAGAGCCCATAACAAAGTTACCGTGATCTGGGTTCCGGGACACAGCGGTGTGGAGGGCAATGAAAAAGCCGACGCGCTCGCTAAAAGAGGAATCGAATCTGAGTTCATAGGACCAGAACTATTCTTGGGCATTGCAAAGAGCACTGCCAAAGGAATTATCTCAAATTGGATAGATGGTGTAAGACTCAAGAACTAGAGAGATACCCAGAGCTAATTCTTTCGAAGGAGTTTATAGCCAACCCGTTCATTAACGCCTCTACTTAGATCCGGAAATCAAGTAGGAAAGATCTACCTATTTCCACTGATGACAGGACATTGTCGTTCAGGTAATCACATAAGAAAGATAGGTCTGCAACAAACATCTGACTGTTGAGTCTTCAGCGTGGAAGGGCACATCCCATGTACATGCTCCGCCTTGGAAAGAAGTAGCTTCCAGATCTTCGGATTTACCCGACTGGAGCTTAACCAATTTTAAACAAGTCTTATTCAATCCAACCGTGGCCTTCATTAGAAAGTGTAGCTTTTACGGTGAACTATGATTTAGATATGAGCCACAATAGATCCATTTGGGTTGCAGCGGACGGCGATGAGATTATCTCACTCATTTTAAAGCTAACAATCAAATATAATTATGGTAAGATCGTGGTTGGTAAGATACTTCTTTTCACCTTAACCATATATATTTAGAACCAAATACTTTTTAGTGTGTTAATTTGGCATTTGTTTTATCAATAGTGTTACGTGTTAACTACAGTTGCTTATTTTATTTGAAGACATTAGAAGTATTGTACTAGAAGTAATATGGTTAAAACGTCACCTTTGATTAATTTTAATTTAATACGTATTAGTAAAGTATTTTTATAGGCGTTTTCGGAAACTTTCTTGGATCAGAAAGATAAAAAATCCTATTATTTGTTTACCTAGGGTTATTAATCCTATCCATTTTCGGAAACTAGTAGATTGCTGATCCAGTTTTGTCATCGAGATCAGTATTTCCTGATCCTCTCTACGAGTAGATTGGTAATAGATCTGCTTGCGTACCGCACGATTTGAAGTTTCTTTTAACATTCATATTAATTTATTTACTGAAATCTTGCAATGTTTATGCAAGAGGATAAAAACTTTTTCATCCCTAGAATAATATTCTAAAAACATACTTGCTATTGGGAATAGGTTATTTAAAATAAAATGGGTCTCAAACAAATAAAGGTTTCAAATATTATATGTCACGCGGGTAAAGTCAAAAATTGATAAACGTTGATAAACAGGAATAATCTGTTGGCATTAAGTTCAGTGATCCACGTGATTCGTCGGTAAACCCAGTAATCCGGATTTGTGATCAATAGTAGGTTTCCGAAAACGCCTTAAGATACCAGTGACTTGCATGATTGTAAATTGTAGCAGCAGAGGTGATACGAGACATTTTTACTGTTTCAACAGCAAAGAAATTTCCACATGCAAGTCATTTAAACGATTTATAAATTTAAAGTATCTATACTAGATGATTTTAAGGATAACAAATTCAAATATAAAAGTATTGCAAGCATTTTTTAACATATAAGTGAAGAAAAATAATTGTGTTTTACATATTTAGTTATTTAAAGAGATAAATATTACTTACTACTGTATAGGTTGCGTTTCTTCCATGTTCGTAATCTAATGGAGAAGCATGTAGAGGTGCAACATGACCGACAAAATTATCAAATGCTCCATGATAATCGTATGTCATTATATTTAGTATATCTAAGTACCTGCAAAAATTGAAAGTCAGACTACGGTTTTTATAGGGTCGGTAAGGAACTTGAATTATTTAAAAAAACTAAAGGATTAACGCCTTGCAGTCATAAAGACCGGTTAAAGTGTGGCTTAGTGTCTTATAATTCGTGCTAAAAATAAGTTTAGTAAGTAGCAGAAAAATGGCTGACAGAACATGTAGAAAAAGCTTTATGTCAATCTAAATAAAATATAATTTCTTGATCTTCGGATACATAGTGCCACTTTGTTCCTTCTCCCTAGATAAAGAGTCAAATAACAAATTAAAAACTTATTGATCATTAAATTTCTGTAGCAAAAACATAAATTATAAAGCAAGAAGTTATTATTATTATAATACTTATTTTAATAATATAATATATAGGTAGGCAAAATAAAGATTTACATATTGCATTGGAAAAAGTTAATATTGTAAGATTAATAATGACAAGGGGTGTGTTAGACATGAGAATATACAGGGTGTCCCGAAATTAGACGGTCATATTTTAACAGCGTAATCTACATCCTAAAATAGGAGTAAAAGTTAATATAAACATAGGTTCAAAAACGTTTCGTTTTCGAGATACAGGGTGTTACAAGTGAAGTCCTGATGGCACATTTTTGTAAATATTTTTCAAAATTTCTTTAGTCACCGGTTTTCCAAAGTTAAAAAAAAAATTCTGATTCCACAGGCCTACTAATTATTATTGTTTACACTTTCGAATAACATCATGAAATTTTCAAATGCTTTTCTCTTAAAAATGGTGCGTCCTAGCGAGATGCAACAAAAGTAGCTCTATTGTAAAGAAAACATCGGTTTTCCAAATTTAATAGACACACCCTACCCTGTATATCTTATATCTCAGCAATACTGCTTCAACAGTCCATTCGATGTTTTGATACCGAGTATAATAGAGATAACCAATTAAACTTTGTCAGTAACTAACTTTTAAGACTTAGAGAGACACTAGAAATGGAATATTTTTTAAAAACTCAAATACCAGCTTATTTCAGGTTTAGGCAATTTTGTAATGTGCAACAACAAACAATAGGACAGTTACAGAAAAGCAGCAGATCCATATAATGCTAGACAGCCAGGTGACCATTAAGACTATTAGGGCGGACGAGAAATGGGGGGGGGTAGCCGGGACAAATTCCCGGGGCCCGGGCACATGCAGGTGCCCGGCAGCGGCACAAGGGGAGCCCGGCAACTTTAGGTGAGGACGTTTTATTTTTTAAAAAGTGCGCCACAAAAGGGAAGAGCGCTGATTTATGTAAAATACAAGATGAGAGATAGAGATTTCACTAAACATGATCTAAGTTTTTGTTTTGCTTGAGGATTTTTTTTAGAAATGTGATATTGTAAGGGCTTAATTTTTTTAAATATAATTGTCGTGGGGCCAAACCTGGAAAATTGTCTCGGGGCCCCACCTGGCTATCGGCGGCTCTGAAGACTATATCGAGAAACTTAGGAGTATGTTATGGTAATACATTGAAGATTTGAGAATATTGGTATGCCGAAATAGACTAAAACGAATTTGGATAATCCGTCATCAAGGAATCGAGGGAATTGAAAAGAATGACGAACTTGAGAAAAAAGGCAAAAGAAGCACTGGAATCATATACCAAAAACTACAGTTCGAGGTTTCATAAAAGTTTCGGCAATTTATGGGAAAATATCCCAAAAATACAACTACTTGGGAAAACCTTTATAGAAAGACCATGTACAAATTTAACAGAACTACTCTCTTTGAATAGGAATCCGTTGAGAACAATAACAACTCATGTGTGTCTATTATGTCACAATATTCTTGTTCACATACAGTATTTTAATAAAATGCTTTCACAGGTTAATTTTTACTTTCAACTGCTACTTCATTTTTGATGTATATCCATTGCAATGATATTTCCGTATTTATCAAATTAAACAGATAGATCATTGCTGCTAGTCATATTTTCCAAGATAATACACTTACGACAGCGTAACCCCGCCCACTGATGTCATTTTTAGCATACACGTTTTAAAAATGGTAGCGTCTCCTTCACTATCCTACCTCTGTATTTGGTTTACAAAATATTATACTTTATTGGTCCAGTCCATTCAATAAAATTTTAGATTAAAAATTTCTGAAATAATATTTGTTTTTAATTCACAAATCATTGACTTTGGATTATAAGTATTACATACATTTTTGTAATCGTCTATTGGAAATTCAAAAATGCAGAAAAAATATATTGTTCTTTTAAAAAAAATGACGTCATGTACCCGAAGGTGGTGACGTCATTAGCACACAGTTGAAAATAAAAATGCGATCGTAAGAGACTTGCAACAACAGGTTAAATCCAACAACCTTTAGAACTCGGTCAAAGACCTGTAAAATGTACAATGGTAACAAATTAACCAACATATACAATACGTCAAAGGTGGAGATCAAGTCAGAGGAGCCCAGGATGAAAAAATAAGCAATTTTAAAAGGAGCACCTATCAAACTTATATATAAATATACTGAAAAACGAGGACGTCACGAATATGTTTAATACAGTAAAAAATGAGCATTCATAAATAAAAATCGACCTATACGAAAATGTTCTTAAAATCATCATATGATGAAAGTTATTGAATTTATTTCACACTGTAAAAGTAGGTTCATATCGACTTGATCTCAAAATACATACTCTGATACTTGTTCCACAAAATATGAAGATTCAATTTTATCCACTGCTGCTGCTAAAGCTGCGCTTAAAAGCAAACCTTTTGGTTTCAGAGCTGCACTGTAGTCTTTCAATAATTCTACGAAATTTTCCTGAAATAAAATTAATAAATGAGTCTTTTATACGAACTCAAACATATCTACTTAGATTAAATATCAAACGATGATAGGTATATTTAAAATATATTGCATAAAATACATTCGAAAATGGTAATTATTTAGAAATATCACTTATATTAAAGGTCGTATTTGGAATATTTTAAGAAACCAATTAGAATTTATTGAAGATGCATATTTGTATTTAAATTTTAAATATTTTAAATATTTTCTCATCTATAATTGAAGCATTGGGTGCAACAAGGGCGATGGGTACCGAAGGCTTGTTTTAATATTATTGCATCAAATTAAGCACAAGCCATCTAGTGTCATATAGCAAAAACTCATTTTAATCTAAGTGTTGTAGATGGCGTAAGAGGTATTTATTTTGAAGATTGTCATACGCCGTTCTTGCACGGATTTCGAATGTGCGTTTGAATTTAATAGCGTTTTCCATTGGAATCTTCATTGCGATCTGAGTGTATTTTTACGTTCTTCTTTTCCATATCGATAAACAAGGACACGAATATATTCAGTGCATACCAGCAGTGCCAATGTAAAACGCCATAAAACTTGTTAAGACCTGAACTTGCAAAAGTTTTATAAATTTTTGCAAAAGAAATATGCAGAAAAAAGGAGAGCTCGAGGAGAATTTAACATCTCGTGGCAAAAGAGTTGATAAAAAGGTATTTCAGCATAAAAAAAAGTTGTTCTAAAAGTTGTGCTGATAAACTTAATAGAGAAGATCAAAACAAGATTTTCTCTGACTTCTGGAGTATTGGTGATAAAGTGCAACCTTCCTATTGTCGTGTTTAGAAAAAGTTGCAAATGAAATATAACATCTAACACAGATATTTTCGGGAGACTAGCATTTATTAATTTAGACAACCTAGAATAGATGTTTGTGATTATTGTACAAAGTCTAAAATTATTTTGCAAGCTAACCCTGGTAGATTCATGTAAAATTCAATACATGTTGCATTTGAAAAAAGTTTAAGCATACAATGGACTAAAAAAAGATTGTATACAGACAGTTCAGAATAATTCTGACACTGATACACTTGTATTAGAGTTTCATTGTGCTCAAAATTTGCCAATACCTAAACCAAATATAATTTCACAGTTTTACAAAAGATTGTTGTGGCTTTCTGTCTTCAATGTTCAGTGTCACAATGATAGAACAGGTAGCTTTTATTATTTTCTGGAAAATTATTCTAAAAAAGCCCCTTACACTGTTCTTTCATATACCATTTTGTTATGAAAAAACTAGAAGATTTGCCAAATATTAAGAAAATAATATTTTTCTCTGATACTTGTGGAGGACAAAATAAGAATATTACCGTAGTTATATTCTCTATATGGTTGGCCAAAAGTTTAAATATGACTATTGAACATATATTTACAGTAAGAGGACACTCCTATAACCAATGTAATAGGAAATTTTATTAAAATCTTTAAAAAATATTGAGACAGCTGAAGAATATTTAAATATTATGTCATCAGCAAGAAACAATCCAAGTCCGTTTCAAGTAGAATTACCAAGTTACGTCATTGAAGACTGGCAAAAAATTCTACAAAACTTTTTGTCTAAGACACATGTAACAAGCAAGAAAAATCGCTTTGCTATCCAGCAATTTGTAAAACTGATATACAGCCCTCTGGGCATGATAACAACATACAGATCCTATTCAGCGGAAGATCAGGAACATATCCTTAAAAACAAACGTTTTGCCAGTGAACAAAAAAACTTAAACTTGCAACTGGTGAAAAAGCCGGGCGTTAAAGAAGTCAAAATCAAAGACGTTTTATCATTGACGCAATATATGAAACCTAAAAGTGCTTGATGGTTGAAAAATATCCTGAACTTTCAAGCGAGTGATGAAGAACCACCTCAACTTGGACCATCTGGGAGATCAGTAAGACGTGCAGATGATAATATTAAAGATTCATCGATATCCAGTGAAAACGAGAATTGTATTAATATTTGTATTACAAGTACACAATTAAGACTTATTATTTTGATTTACTTATAATAAAAATTAATAATTTATTCATATACCTTTATCATTTTCCTTTTAAATAAATGAACGCCCAATCAAATTACCAGTTGGGTGCAACAAGAAAGAATAACATGTACTAAAAAAATCAATTTTATAAGGTTTAAACTAATTTTAAAATAAATTAATTTGTCAATTTAGTATTTACATTAAGGGCCTGATAAATAAACCAAAGTGCAGAAGGTAAAGATTAATAGATTAAATGTTATAAGAGTTCAAAATTTTCAAGTTCAGTTATCTCAATACTCACTTTATTTTGCAATGCTCTTGTTGCACCCAATGCTTCAATTGTATGAAAGGATTGAACAATCTACTTTTTTCTACACTCACATGGATATTAGCTTATCCACGCACAGACTACAAAACGAAAAAGTATTCTATTGCGTTTAACTGAACGAATAGCAATTTCAATAGATAGCAGACCCGCAACAGCTTTTATCGCACCGGTAAAAGACTGTTCCAGTTTAAGGTCCTCCTATTCGGCCTTCATGCAGCCTCTGCTACATTCCAACGTCTTTTGGATACCGTAATCGGCCCAGAAATGGAACCATACGCTTTTGCCTACTTAGACGACATCATAGTTCTGGCTGCTACATTCGAAGAACACATGAAAAATTTAAAAGTAGTTCTCCATAGATTACAACAGGCCAAGTTACGGATTAATATTAAAAAGTGCAAATTCTGCAAAGAAGAAATCAAATACCTGGGACATGTGGTAACCGAATCAGGAACCAAAATGGATAAAGATAAAATAAAAGATATAATCGACTACCCCGCCCCTAAAACGATTAAACAGCGTCGGCGTTTCCTACGTATTACATCTGGGTACATGAGATTCATACAGGATTTTTCAGAAACAACGGCCCCACTTACCAAACTCCTAAAGAAAAAACAGCGGTGGAATTGGGACCAGAAACAAGATAAAGCCTTCAACAAGTTAAAAACTCTACTCATGCAAGCACCAATATTGGTGTGTCCTGATTTCACGAAAAACATGTTCTTGCAAACCGACGCTTCAAATCACGGGTTAGGTGTGGCACTACTACAAAAAGACGATTCCGGACAAGAACAAGTCATAGCATACGTAATCAGAACATTGTCAAAAGCAGAACAGAATTACAGTGTTACAGAAAAAGAACTTCTCGTAGTTGTTTTCGGAGTTGAAAAAATGAAACCTTATCTTGAAGGATACCTCTTTCCACGGATCATCAAAGCCTACAATACCTCCAGTCCATGGAAAATTTCTCGGGCAGAATGGCAAGATGGGCAATGACTTTGCAACAGTTTGACTTCGACGTTATATACAGAAAAAGCAGCCAAAATGTATTAGCCGACGCCCTCTCCAGAGAACCTATTTGCACAATAGACCCAACAGATATATAGCCAAACGAATGGTACGATAAAAAATTAAAAGAAGTACATAACAACCCTAAATCACTTCCAGATTACACTACTAGGGATTACCGACTTTACAAGCATTTCTGAGACAAGTACGATCTTAAAGAAATAGAACTATCAAACCCATGAAAACTCTGCATACCCAGCAACAAAAGACAACAGTTAATAGCAGAAAACCACGAACAAGCCACAGCAAGTCATTTAGGAATAGCAAAAACAATAACTCGACTAGCCAGGAAGTACTATTGGCCAGGCATGTTTAAGGATATAGCAACGTTTGTTAGAAACTGCAAAAACTGTCAACAATATAAAGTAGAACAGAGGCAAACCCCAGGAATTATGCACTCAACTCACATACCACCCCACCCTTGGCACACAGTATCCACAGATGTGATCGGACCCCTGCCAACGTCCAGCAAAGGGAATAACTACATAGTAATGTTCCAAGGCACCTTCTCAAAATGGATAGAAGCTATTCCCGTCCGGACACAATATGTCAAAACCTGAAAGATGAAATCATAATGAAATTCGGCTGTCCCAAAGAACCAGTATCAGACAACGCAAGGATTTACGAAAACAGAGAACTTAAAAAACTATTGACAGAATTTCACATCTCTAAAAAAGACATCCCACCATACTCCTTACAAAAAAATCCAGTAGAACGTACGAACAAAGTAATAAAAACAATGGTGGCGCAATTCTGCGATAACAATCACAAACAAATGGGACACAAACTTACCAGAACTAGTTTTTGCCAACAACTCCGCAAAACACGACTCCACAGGATTTACGCCGGCTTTCCTAAATTTTGGACACGAACTAGAAATAGTTTTAGAAAATACGACCGACAGTCAATTACCAACAAAAAACGTTACATGGAACAAGCTTAAAGAAACGTTTGACCTAGTAAAGACAAACCTGGCGAGGGCTTTCACAACATAAAGACGTTACTACAATCTTCGGTACAGAGACTGGAGACCGAAAATTAACGACAAAGTAATAAAGAAAGATCACAACCTTTCAAACGCAGCCAAGAATTTCAACGCTAAACTAGCACCAACATTTTCTGGTCCATTCACCATTAGTAAAGTATGTTCAAAAGTCATTTTTCAGTTACAAGACACACGAAATAATCGAACCTTAAAAGTTCACATTAAAGCCTCAACTAACACAATACCTTAAAGTGGTAAATAAAACATTAAAAATAGCAGTATCAAGAAGATATCCCAAGAAGACGTTTTAAAATTAAACGAAGACATGAGTATCCTTTCCAGTTCTGACAGCGAATTAGAACAGTCAGAAAAAGAATGGCAGCCTACAAAAATACTGTCACCGCTGCCACCAACACCACCGCAACGACGCTTGTCACCGACACCATCACAACAATACTTGTCACTAACACAACTGCCACGACGCTTACCACTTACGCCAGGAAAAAACAGTGAGATAATTTTAAGCACGATAGCCAAATTTAAAAGACTGTTCGAGGAGCCGCTGCCACAAGTTAGTGCATCCAACATGGACATCTCACAATTGCAGCCAAGTATAAAGGTTTCCAAACCATTAAAAAAGCTTTTGCCGCCAGATTTCAAAGGCAAAAAGTACCGGCTGCACTTAGAAGAGGGAAAGGTAATCCGAATAAAAGGCAGACAAGGAGAGTCCACCAGCCATTTAAATAATTTTTAGGTTTAAAATTTGTTTTTTTTAAGAAGAATTATGGAAGATTTTTTTTTAAGTTTTGGGCACAACTAAAGGAAGAGTTATGAGAAGATCTCTTTTTTAGTTTTTTTTTTAGTTTCAAAAATTTCCGTTTCGAATTTTTTTTCCACGAAGGAGGGGTGTAACGATGTTTCGCAGTAACACCGTTCTAGAGACGCCTATGATTCAGCATGCAGTCGTTTTTGCCAAGCAAAGACAAGTATATAAAGAGCTCCGAATTTAATTCTCGTCTATCGCTCCCCCAGCGGAGAAGTCTACCTAAACACCCCCAACACCCCCATCCTCACACGTTTCCAGACCCTCAGGAAACAATACGTCTCTCGCACGCTGAAAGGCACAAACACTTACTCCCAAGACACACTTCGAACCCCATGGCGCCCCAACCAACTCCCACTCTTTCGAAAACCGAAAAGAAAAATGCCACAGCCTAATCTAAAACTTCTCTCAGACGCCCAAGACCTCCCCCTCACCGCTGAACTCCAGGATCTGCTGGAATCAGCCCCCCTAAGTATCAGATAAACCTTTCCCAATCACATAATTAGACATTTAAAACACATGTACAAATCGTGGTTTAGGTTTTGTGGTTTTCCTAAATCATATTCCCCACCTCATACTTGGACTTGTCCATTTATGGAGTTGGAAATAGCAAAATTGGCGATATTCTTGGGGAACACAACCTGCCACACAGGACCCACATACGCGCACAATAATTAGGAATTAGCTAGCTAGGTTACTTTTGTAATCAGGGCAGACCACCCTGAGAAGGAGGAAAACTCCTATAGCAGGGAAATAGGAAAATGAAATGTCCTAGAAAATGTAAAATACTTAAGATTACTAATAATAAATAAAAAAAAGTGACAATTCTGTCCAACTAATTGTCAGTATAATTTTTAGTTATCGACATTAAATATACATTAAAATGAGTTATTTTTGTGTAGAATCAATAAATAATAGCATTTTTATTTACATGTGGTTCATATTTTGAAAAAAAAAAAAAAAATATTTTAATCAAACTATATGTAATTAATTTTATTACGAGTATTAAAACTAAAATCCTAAAAGGAGTGTCTTTCAAGCAGAAAGCCCGGGTTACAATCTGGGCAGGGGAATAAATAAATTAAATCTTGTTTATTTTATTTTATAAATTAGTAAAATTTATAAATTAGTAAAATTTATAAATTAGTAAAATTTATAAATTAGTAAAATTTATAAATTAGTAAAATGTATAAATTATTTTAAATTTAGTTATTTTTTCATAATATTAAATCATTTTTTCAATTTATAGATTTTCGTTAGTGGGTCGTAGAAAAAAATATTGTGTTTGAATCGATTCAATGCACCAATTTAATATTTATTATAAATACTAGGTTCTCTGATTTGAGTAAATAACAAAATTACTTTATCTTCTGGATGAGCGTCATCTCTAAGAGTGGGGTACTCCCAATCAATATCAAAACCATCGAAGTTATACGTTTCCATTAATTTTATAGATTCTTGGACGAGTCTTTGCCTTTTTACAGGATCAGCACATATTATTGAGAAATTTTTTGAACCTGCATTCCACCCTCCTATACTGATCAGAGTCTTCAGTTCTGGATTCACATTCTTCAAATTTGCAAAATTTCTGAATCCATCTAAAAAATTAAATAAAAATCTAATATAACCCAATTAATGTTTTATGAGGCCCCGACACCAATTTTATTCATAATTGAAAAAGTTTTTGGAAGGCAACTTCTTTATTTTCAAACTTAGAAGAATGCGGTTTTCACCGATTTATTCTAGATCTAATTCTTAAGAGAGGACTAGTGGCAGATTTTCATAATTTTTTTTTAAATTTTGCAAATAGGATGTAATTTTTTTTTTAAACAAAATTTAAAAAACTAAAACTAGTCCTCTCTTCTTATAAAAACTACAAATACAATGCAAAAAACCGCATATTTTTATTTACAAAATTAAACCTTCCACCGTCCAAAAACTATTTACGTCCGTAATATGGCGCCCCGCTAATTTCGTTGCGGAATATATCCGTACTATCTGTAGAAAGCGAGAATACCTGAGATACACGGAAAAAACAGTTCTTATATTAAAAAGATAAAATTGAAGTTTTTAAATATATGCGGATGTATTTTTTTCGTTTAATTAATTAAAAAATTATTAGCCAATATAATTTGTTTTGTACTTAAAACAAATGAAAAACCGGATCTGTATTTTTATGATGTAATCGTAAGGTGTATTTCCAGTTCCCGGCTACTTCCTATTGTTCTGTCTATTCGCTCTTGCACTTTTTCTAGATAGGTAGTTTTGTTTCTTGTGTCTATTTCATAAGTTTATTTCAGCATACGCTTATGATATTACAATCTCTGCTGGCTCCAAACATGAGCTTCCAGGAACATCTTCTGAAATTGATCGTCTAGCAACTTTTGATGAAATCGATGAGATTTCAGAAATACCTGTTGAAACTGTGTCAAAATATTATTTTTCAATCACCGGGTATATTTCTAGATAGAAGCATTGAAGGAAATAGAATAGTTAATATCACTCATTTTTTTTAAACAGTTACAAGTTGTATCATATCATTTCAGTGGAGTATACGGTTGCACTTTAAAAAATTTGAAAATTGTTAAAGAATTGAAAATGGGATTTGGTTCAATTTTAACCTTAAGATGTACTATGTGTAAATACGTTGGGACAGTATCGACATCCGATATTAACTGTGATATGGACATAAATATTCGAGCTGTGAATGGAATAACGAGTATTGGAAATGGATTTCGTAATTTGCAAATATTATGTCTTAATTTAGATATTTGTTCAGATTTGAACATAATAAAATCAACATCCTGTATATTAAATTAATTATTTTATTTATTTAAAATGTTTAATTTCATACACCGTTCCAATTTCGTATCTAGTTCGATGTGTAAATTATAATAATAAAAATGCTGAGTAAATCAAAATAAAAACTATTTGCAAAACATTGAACGAGGTCGAAATTGGAATAATATGTTTTGAATGTGTATTTAAATTATTAAATAATTGTAATTGTTATTTTTTATTGTTATTGTTTGTGATATTATAAATATAGGTGTTAATGAGATAATAAAGAGATTCATGAAAACCATCTTGTAGTATTAATTACAACAATTATCTTTGAAATCTATTCAATATTCCTTGCATGAGTCAAAGTACTTTTTCTGATAAGCAAAATAAACTCTTTGAAGATATAGAGCAATTAGCGTTTAATAATATGAAAGAAGCAGCTAATGAAGTAGCTGACATTGCGAAAGAACAAGGAACTATTGGTCTTGATGGTGTTCCAGAAATGACAGTTATTTGCGATGGAACCTGGAGTAAACGTTCTTATAAACGAAATTATAATGCATTGTCAGGTTCTGCCGTTATTATAGGTAAAAATACAGAAAAAGTTTTACATCTGGGGTTTCGTAATAAATACTGTATGACTTGTTCTCGATATCGCAACAGCGATAAGGAGATTCCGGAACACATATGTTTTCAAAATTGGAACGGACCCTCAACTACAATGGAAGCTGCAATTATCGTTGAAGGTTTTAAAAATAGTAAAAGTCTGTTGGGTCCCAGGTATTCAAAATTTATTGCTGATGGGGATAGTAACTACTACAAACAAATTTTAGATGCTAAACCATACAACAAAACAGTTTAAAAAATCGAATGCCGAAATCATCTAATGAGGAACTTTAGTAATAAAATTGCAGACTTATGCAAAAGTGCATGTAGACCGAAGAATCTGAGATATAAAATAAAATCAAAAATATTAAAATTACGAACAGCGATAATGAAATATAGAAAAAATGAAGAATGTATAGACCATAATAAAAAAATCTTCCAATCTAAAATGTGACATTTTAAATGTAGTGCACCATGTATTTAGACAGCATGATGGCTGCGCAAAATTGAAGTATTTTAGCACTAAGGAAACTCCAGATAAAGAAAATATAATTCCGGATTAAAAGTGCAGTCTTTTATTTGATAAATTAATGAATATGGTTAGATTGCTGCCAACCCATAGCAGTAGTCTTGTGTACGATACAGACAGTAATGTTGTTGAACAATTCGACAGCATTATTTGTAAATTTATAGGAGGTTAAAGAATAAATTATTCTTTGAGAAGACAATACAAACGTAGATGTTTTGCTGCTCTTCTTAAGTATATTACCAAAAAATCTACTTTTTATAATACGTATAAGTATAAAAATAAGGCAAGCCCTTCATTGAAAAGACAGAGCATGTGAGAAAATTAAAAGGAATAAAAAAAAAATTAAAAAAAGATTAAATTTTGAGGACAAAAATTACGGCCCAAAGTGTGAAAAACCAGATATGTCCTCAGCAGATTTTGAAGAAGCTAAAGTATGTTTTCTATCTTCGCTTCGAAAAACAAAAGAGGAAATTGAATCCATTGAAGCAAGAACCAAAGAGCAGGCCAACAATTTTGAATGGGTCGAAATGCGAAAACACCTTTTAACAGCTTCACATTTTGGAGAGGTTTGTAAGCGAAAACCAACGACTTATTGTGCAAATTTAGTTCGTAGTCTCCTTACACAACCATTTTTTAGGAGCAATGCAGTAGAATGGGGTAAAGTCGATGAGTCTACTGTAAAAAATATTTTGATAAAACAGCATAAATTGAATATCAAGTCAAGTGGATTATTTATTAGTGGTGAATACCCCTGTAGAAATTTTTAATAAAATATTTTATGAAATTATGTTTTAATTTAATAAATATCTATACATAATTATTAAGGTCAATTGATAAATAAAAGCGTTTATAATAAAGAACTAAAAAAAAAAATAATTTTAGTAATTTTTACATAATATGCAAGTAAGCGTCTCAGAAACGTCAAATCTGCAGCAGCCTTACGAAAATTTAACCTGTCTGGTTGGAGGTTAAACCCGAGAATACCGATCAAGGAGAAGCAACAGTAGCTGTCGGTGCCTTTGATATCGGATGTACCTTTTTCACAGTATGACTTTGACTGATACACAACTTAGCACGCTGAGAAAATATGCTTATTTTCTACACTGAGCGAAATAGTTTGGCAAATTATCTGAAATTATTGTTATAGTCCATGCGCAAATGTTGCAATGTGATTTAATTACATTGAAGTAAATAGGGTTAATAGCAATGATGAAATTTCGGCACCAAAATATAATTCATTATGTAATAATTAATAATTTATTATAAAAGTAAAAGACGTTTATTATTTTATAATTTATCTATAAAATTTGTTCAATATTTGGTTTATTTATTGTTAAAAAATGTAATAAAAGCCCCATGTTTTAATTAATTTACCTTTTCCTTAACTAAAAATAAGGTAAATAAAATTAAGGGTGTCAAAAAAAATTTAGGTATCAATTAAAAAGATATTAAGTTTGAAAGGTTTAACTAAATATTTGCAATGTGCATATATTTACAAAGCTTTTAGGTTTAAAAAGAACTTACATATTTTTAGAATTTCTAGATTTATATTATATTAAAAGGACTTTCAAGTTTATCACTCATTTCTGTAAAAACAAGTGTTTTCTCGCCAAGTTAAACCAGATGTCATTTAAGGTTTATGTATTTAGAGTTAAATACCTGGCCTGGCTATTACCCAGATAATACAAATATGTCCATTGGATGTCCATTCGATATACAATTTTGGATGTCTAGACGTCCAAAAGTTAGTTTTCTGGACTTCCGACATCCAATGGACGTCCAGTGAAGTATACAAATGGCATACTTTTGACCATTCAGAGGACAACCAATTCTGGAATATATTTGGACGTCGAATACTGGACATTCAAAAAACGTCCAGGATTATATTGCCATTGAGACCACATCCCCACTTTTTTACAGAACCGCATCTCACTACACACTATTTTATATTATTAATAATTTGTTTATTATTTAAGTAGACGCACTATATTTGGTAACCATAAAGATTTCATCATGAAGGATATAGAATACTACATATCCAATTTTCGACAAAAATGGACATACAATATTTGTGCTCTTAACCATCGAATTCAACATTTCGAATTTTAAAACCAAAAGTAGTTGGGCATCTAAAGATACACTCTAGATCAGAAGATAAAATCGTTCCTACCACTTTGTGCTACGTTGTAATCGTCACTCCCTTTTAATAATTACAATATTTAATACTTTTTGAGCGCCCCTCGTATTTGGAAATATAGATATTATGTTGAAACGGGAATTTGTCTCTGTCTAAGACATTCGATAGCTCAACCATTGATGCGCTCTCTCTAAAAATCAATAATTATTGTCAGATGTTGTGCGCGCGCCTGGCTTACTTATGGATTTGAAATACCCACGTTCCATATTCGATGGGCTCCTGACTTTCCTTTTCAATCTAGCAGCGAAATAAACAGGTTGATTTTAGTGCTTTAAGTGTGTCCGAATAAACTAAGGTAATCTCGAATCATTTTTTTTTTATAATGAAAAGTAGAAATTAACTTTATTGAGTGTATCTTCTGCTGAAATTATCTTTAAGTTATCTCTTTTATTAATAGTGAGCTTTTCGCGTAATATAAATTCCAAAATGTACAAAATGGCTGCCATTAATTTTATATTTTTTCTTCTCAGTTATTTAAAAAAATCTTTCCATTCTTCATGTGTTTTAAATTAAATACTATTGCAAATCTCTAATATTGTTGTAAATTTGAAATGTTTAATTTAAAAATGTTTAATTTAAATTTTAAGTTTTTTTGGCTGACCACATGTGTTGTGTTTTTTTTTGAAGCAATGGAAAGATACGGTTTTTTTTGTTGTAACTGACACGTTTTTTCTTTCTTAAAAATAAGGAACTGGATCTGGAACAAAATAAGGAGCTGGATCTGGAACAAAATAAGGAACTGGATCTGGAACAAAATAAGGAGCTGGATCTGTGACAAGCTAAGGAGTTGGCCTTTGTAATCTGGAACTGCAGAATCATTGTCAGCTAGTTGCCACTAGAGCTGTGGAATATCTTGGACTGAGTAGCGTAAGGAACTGCAGTGTTTTGAAGTCATCGTAGGCTCACCTACCATTAAGAAAAGGAACTGCAGGGTTTTGAAGTCATCGTAAGCTCACCGCTCACCTACCATTAAGACACGGACCAAACCAGTTCGACCGTTGAAATCCGGAAACACAAGATAAGTGTCGGCCAGGCCCACACACACAATTTTTGAGTCACTAGTCAATTTTTATTTTAAACTCATCATTAGTCAAACGTAAACCGTAAAATGTGTTAAAATCAATTAATTTTATTTTCTTTTATATGTAATATCAGTCATCAGTCAAGTTCGAAATTAAAGCCGATTAATTGTTTTGAAATTTAAGTTCTTTTTTTTTTCTTACTTTCAACTGACAAGTTAATGACAAAAATTTACTTTTATTATACATCTAAAGGTATGGCGCCCAAATTAATTTATTTGAATTCTTTTAAGTCTTTTTAATTAAAGACCTTGTCATTGACTTGAAGGTAAATTCTAAACGAATCCCACTGACCTATTTTGATCTGAGCTAGGCCTGAGGCTTGTTAGAATGCTTATTATAAGGATTTTTACAATGAGACGCAGGTAAGGGTTAGAAACGTATCATCTGGTGCAAAATATGTTTTTATAAAACGTTTATTAGCAAAACGTAACATTTGTTTGTTAAGTATCGGTGTTAAAATACTTTAACATATTTTGCACAAGCCATTTGTACCTTTATGACATTTTTTGTTCTTCACCATATTTTACTCCAAGAGCCGTCTCTGGTCGAAGGTGCTCGCGTTACCTTTTTCTCCGCGCGAAGGATCTAATCCACAAACACCAATAAATGCTCTTACGTGAGTCCCGACGTGCCGATGGTTGGTTAAAACTACCTTTCATTATTTAGCCTTCAAGAAGGCAGAAAGATTTTCTATCAAACGGCTTTCATTGAAAGGCTACACCGCCATATTGGTGTTTTAGTAATTCTTCATCGAAATAAGAAAGGTCTAGTGAATAAGTTAACTCATATTTGTTTGATCATAGAAGAATAAAAATTATAGTGTAGCCGATGAGTTTTTAAACTTTAATCGCCCAACTTTACATTGAAATAACTAGTGAATTATACAGTCCACCAAGTAGAAAACAATTTAATATTTGTAGAGAATGGCACATTCATAAGTCCATTCTGCTATAATCAGCAATCGCAGTGGCTGTGCACACGTCACTTACAGAGGACATAAATTATATCTATTAAACTAATATTTTCTAAAATTTGTGACAAAAGAAATTATTTTCTCAACTGTTAAATTATCTGGTCGGATTTAGAAATACAAAGATAAATATTACTACCATATGCTTGACTGGTACAACGCTCGAATTCAGAACTTTTGAGTCGTGACAATAATTTACAACAGAATCATTTGCAAACGAAATGATTTATTATTCCAGACTGGTTTAAAGAATATAAACATATTTATATTTAGTTAATTAATTACTTACCATAATGTCCTCCATCTTCTGTGCCGTTAGCTTCATATGAGTCAAATATGAGCAACCTACCATCATCGTACATCTCTAAAAATGCAAAATAAACATGTGTGCAAAGATGTGGATCTATATTAAATACATCGAATTTTCCACCTTCGTCTCTGTAAACTGACCAACTTGCGAAATAACATGCTACATTATAAGAAGAACCTAAAAAAGTACAAACAATTGATTAAAATTAAAACCTTATATTATTATACAGTTTTTGCAAAAACATCTTAACCTTTTTTTTAAATGTCGAACTAAGTTTTCTCGGTAGAAAATTTTATTAAATCACATATACCATCATTTTTACCCATAATTTAGTTAGAAAATGAGTTATTGCAGCGCCCACTTTTGCTACTTAATTTTCACATTATTTTAGAAATTTTATGGGTTTTTTTCTTAATTATAATCGTATATTTACAATCTACTTGATCATGTAGAGTATTTAGCAAATTGTTTAAACATTTTGTAGCTCAAGTTAGGCACTATCCAACTAATTTTACCTAAAGTAGGTCTTCTGGCTAGGTTCTCTTTAATATTTTGTTTGCTTGTGGGACTTTATATAGTCTGCTGACTGTTTGGGAGTTGTTCGAAGCATATCGATTTCTTGCTTTGTTTGCATTTATATAAGGTATTCTGAAGTCAATGTGGATGGGGCGATGCCCAACTCGGCACACCAAGCAGGTAAACGGAACAGTTATAGCCCAAGTCGGCATATACAGGTACTTTTTTCTATATAGCCCAAGTCAGCACATAACTATGCAGGTACTTTTTTCTATATAGCCCATGTCGGCACATATCTATGCTGTTATGTATAGCCCATATAGACACATTTTTTTTTACTGAGGAATAATTTCAATCATTTATTATACATATATTATTAATTGTTTTTTAACAATATCTACAGAACTCTGTTTATATATTTTTTGTTTGTTTTATTTTATATCACATTTTGGAATGTACAGGGACAATAATAAAACAATCATTAAATTTCTTTTAAAACGGTATTTATTACAAAACTACAAGATGGACATTCTACTAGCTATATCTTAACCTTAATACTAGATATACCTAATTATTTTATAAAGTTTTGACGAACAAGAGGACCACTAGTTATTATATGCGTAATAATGCGCAACTATTTTCACATAGTCAGTTTATTATTTTTGTAGTCAGATATTTTTTTAGCAATAAAATTCTGTTTCTTTTTTGTATCAGTATTAATTCTGTGAGGTGTATTAATGCTATTGCACTTAATATAAGTTTCAGATTGAACACTTAAAAGTTCGTTTACAAAAATAAATAAATTTGGATGTGTTTGATACAAGGAATTATTAAAATGTAAATGAAATGATTCACATGCATTTGTTGTCTTGTTAAGGTCTGCAGATGCATTTGCCCAAATATGTGAAGGAAATTTTGATTCATTTGTTAAGTATGTTTTCAAAAGATAATCGGAAAACTTTTCTAAACATTCGTTATTGGGTTTTAACTCGTACAGTTCCAGGAAATAAAAATCATCCACTTTTTCGGGTTCTAAAAATAGGAGACCAAAGCAATATCTCAGCCATTTACCATTTTCAGAATTTTTATTTTTATATTCTTGGTTAAGTCCAAGTTTTTGAATTTGTCGATACCAAGATTGGGTCAAATGAAATCTGCAGACGGTTATTTTTACATTATTCCAAACTTGCAGTACTGCCTTATGAATAGCTATCTCAAAATCTACCACAACTTCTTGCGGCCAGAATTGAAATTTATATTCTATGCATACATTTTTAACTTTTAACAAGCATGTTTTATATGTATTTTCACTCTTATCGTTTAGCAAACAAAATACCAGTGGAACATAATGGCCATTGAAATATCCATGAATCGAAAATAATTGCTTAAAAAATTTAGTGCATTAAGAGAACGTTCCATCTACATAAATTATTTTTGATTTACATAAGAACTCCAAATTATTCTTACATGAAAAAATTACGAGATTTTCTCTGTTATCATTAATTAACAAAAACTGTTCATTCTTTGAAGTTTTTGGAGTTAGCACATTTAAAGATTCGTGAACTTCCCCAATAGATTTTGGCAAAGCTGGCACCAACTTCCGCCGCCCGTAATATATGTTTTTTCTTACGCAATGTATGTCTTTTGACGTTAGATTCATCATATTTGTACGCTGCTCACAAAGTTCTTTTCTTATCACTTATGCTGGTTTTTCTGCAACGTCGCTCTCAGCTTTTCTTTTGGTTGAATATATCAATATTTGCCTTTTCAAAACATTTGTTTCCTCCTGCTCGTGCGTATGGTTTGCATTCAAACTCGTTATGAGTCGATCAGACGATTCACCCAAAGTATGAATGAAGGCTTTGCACTTATCTTTGATACATCTCCATTAAGATTCTCCAGAAGATAGTTTTCGAAAATGTTCCTTGTACTTAAAGTTATTTAGTACTAATAACATTTTCCCCCTTTGACTGTACATTTCCTTCAAATCTCCAGAACTAGCCATGTCTCTGTTTTTACACTTTTATACACTCTTTACTCAATAACTAACGAAAGTAAACTAATAGTTGAAGCTTGACATAATTCACAACTCGAGTTCCCGTAAGCTATGAATTTAATTAAGTACCTACCTCCGGCGCCCGATGGTCTGCACTTAAAAGGACTATACTTAATTATTATGTTTTGATATTTCTTATGAATAGACAAAACTGAAATTATCTGTATTATGAAGTTTTAAAAATCTCATAATGAATTACCTAGGATTATGATAGTTAATTCTTTCTAAACTATTGATATTTATATTATTTATTTTAGATATTCCTATTTTATATCAAATATATTTTTACTAATAACATTTTGATAGTTCCAAATTTCAATTTTTGTCATTGATTTCGACCTTTTTTTATTGAAAGTTGCAAAATTGTATAGGTAGGTACTAGTTGTCTCTTTGATAAGATATAAAATTGACCGTAGTATAGTGTGCCGAGATGGGATACACCCTTTCTATTACCTGTGAGTTCTGTGTGCCGAGATGGGTCATTACAAAAGGACCGGCATTGTGTCATAAAATTGACCGTAATTAAGTGTGCCGAGACGGGATACCCCCTGTGGATGGTGTGGTTTGACACACATATCAACGTGAATCTACTATTTTATGTAATGTTTTTGATTTTAATGTTTAGAAGATTTTGAAATTTGATGGTTTGCTACATCCCCATAGTTCGATACCATATGACCACAATGTGGTTTTATAAATTAAAAGTTTGCTTTCTAATGACAACTGTGATTTCCTATCAAGCAACTAATGCATTTATATTAATTTAATGTTTAATTACGTTTTCTTAGCTTTAATGTGTTCAATCTATGTGAGTTTTTAGTCTAGGTGGAGTTCGAGGTATTTAACTGTGTTTTTGATTGGAATTGGAGCGTAATTAATGTTAACTTGAGGACATGTATTTCTTTTTAAGGTAAATGTAACTTGGGGATACTTATTAGTATTGACTTGGATTTTTCAGCAACGAAACCAAATTTGTAACTGTTCTAACTGATTTTGTAGATTTCCTAATGCTCGGTCAAGGTTGGATGGCAAGATATCTGTGTTATCAGCAAAAGGTTGTCATCTTCTGCTACTGGTATTTCGGCGGTAAACATTAAATAAGAGAAATGTCTAGGGACACTGCCCTGACTCCAGGGGTGATGTGATTCAGGTTTGAGAGAGAGGAGTTGATCTTTACACGAAAGAGGCGTTCATTCAAATAGCATTTTGTGGTGATATTAATTTGATATGGAATATGGTTTGAAGAAGAGGTCCTTATGCCAAACTTTGTCAAACGCTTGTTGAACAACCAAGAACATCGAAGCGCAGTATTATTTTTGTTTAGACATTCCTTAATTTTTTTTACAATTCTGTATTGTAATGAATTTTTCTCTAAAACCAAATTGGTGATCTGCTATTATGTTATCTATAATTTTATGAAGGAGTAGTCTTTCAAATATCTTTGATATCCGTTGCAGGATACTTATCGGTCTATAATATGTAAGTTTTATGAATGGTTTTCTCTGTTTTGCGATCATAAAACTTTTATATGTGAAAATAAAAGTAATGGATTGCTAAATTTCAAATGGAACAGTGTCTGATATACAGGATTGGGCTAAATGAGCGGAACACCTGATTTATGGCTTAATTATGACTGGTAGAAAAATTTTATTCGGATAAAAGTTTTAGTATATTTTATGTACTATTTAGTGGTGTTTGCAGATTTTGTATTTCGGTACATATCTATCAATTATTACACCTGATTATTACATTACACCTGATTTTAAGCTTCTAATATTGCATAAAAATCTCAGGATCATTTATTGATTTCAGAATCAGCGTAAGCTAAAAAATAGGTACAAATAAGTTTTAGTTTTTAGTAGTCATTTTATTCTACTAAAAAAAATAAAAAAATTTAATTCATTTAATATTTTACTGTTTGGTAATATTTTATTTTATTTCTTGGGTGGAATTAATTGGGTCTCTACCATGACACTTAAAAGATTAAACAAAATTTTGTGAGGAATTTACTTGTAAAAGAAAAATATGTGTTTGCTTTATTAGAAACCTGGCTTAGCCCTCAGATAACCAATAATTTTATTAATATTCCTGAATTTAACGTAATTAGAAAAGATAGGGGTTTATAAAAAATATAAGTTTAAAAAAATTGTAAATCCACAACTGGAAAATGATAGTTCTGAACAAATTTGGGTCTCCATTCAAAGATTTGCGATTTGCCTAGGACATATTTATTGTCCACCCAGTAGTGACAGTAAATCTTTTGTAGATCACTTTGAAGACTCATTATCTACAATGTCTGTGGAATTTAATAAATTCATTTGTAAGGGTGACCTAAATATTGTCCTTTTAACACATAATAATGTTATGGTTGAATATTTGACCTTACTTGAGGGCAGGGGCGGTTTCTCCACTGGTTCATTTGTGCAGAGAACATCCAGTTAAATTTCATAAAGAAACATTATTTTTAAATTACATAAATAACATAAAAATATAAATTTAATTTTATTATTTTTATTTTCATACGTGTTAATCTATATTGTCCTCTGGCTGATCGCGTCTCTGTAGCACAGTATACCTAAGTATACTGTGTCTGTGGCGCATTATGATGAGTGAGCCTAACACGAGTTAGACGATATGGCGAATGCATATATCCGAAAAGAGAAGACAACACGCCAACAGATCCTTCAAACTGTCAAAAAACACATTAATTGGTGCGCCGCTCACAAACAAGGTTGCCAAACCAGTGTTGCCAGTCTAATACAATTCACAATTATACTAGATGTAGTACATTCTGCGTGCATCAGTGTTCACGTATAAAATATGTATATTGTGTTCCTTGTTTGGGTTCGTTATTAATAAAGACCCCTTTTTCCCTCTTCAATGAATTAGATGTCACTGCAAATAGAATTCGAAAAATCTGATACATTTAAGGAATCTGGTACATTTTTAGACAAAGCTGGTAAACAACAAAAACATATTCTGGCAACACTGTACCAAATCAAACAAACTGTCATTCCTCTATTATAATTATTTTTGTGCTCATTTAAAAAATTGTGTTTAATTGAGAACTGCAACTTTAATAAATTGGAAGGATGTGTGTGAATTTAACGATTGTTCCCGAAAAACTTCTTTAAGACAAGGTAAATAAAACTTTTTAAGGTTATGTTGTTTTATTTACCTATGATAAAGTTTTACGACTGTAATTTATTTTATATTTTGTTTCAGTTTCTAAGACCATCCAAAGACTACTTTAAAATGGTCTATTTTGTACTATGTCTATTGTAGATACTATAAAATAAGAAGCAACAATATTTACAAAACCCGCTAAAAGAAAAAATTTGATTGTTCATTATGGAAATGGGAATGTACAATAAAAGTTTGATAAAGATAAAGAGACAAATGGTTTTTCACTTTAAAAGTCTGAATCGGTAAAATGGACCAACCAGTTAATTTAATATACTCAATGAGAAATTGTACCTAAGAAATAGTATGTACATTTAAATAGTTTATATATGTTATTTATCTATGATATACGTTAATTATCAATCGTGTTACCCTAAAATCTTTTATTTTAATTATATTTTTTTATTGCCTTGTTTGTATAATTTAGTATTTTCAAAAATATAAGATGTATTGGTAATTTGGATCATGCAGGTATTAAATAAAAATAAGGCTGTTGGTAAATTAGTTTACAGTTGGTAATAAAGTATGTCTCGAAAAGAGCAATAAGTATTAAACATAAATTTTGATTTTGATTAGGCACTTAACAAGTCACATCCCGCATATTTCCATGCTCTGGGTAATCAATCAATCCTATAAGTACATATCAAAACATTAATATACTATCTACAATTAAACAATAATTTGAAAATACAGATGAAGCCGATTTACCTATTTAGACAAAATTACTATTATTCTATTATTTATTAATATACACTTAGAAAGGGTCATATGGAGAATTAAGTGTGATAACATTTTACGATGTTTATCTCACTATTTTAGTTCACAGATTTCTGTAAATGTTCAATTATGTGCTGCTATTTCAAACTTTTAGTATACTTTGATAAAAGAAGTTGGATATTATTGTTGACCTCTTTAAACTGTTTATTTTACCTTTTTTTACATTTTTTTTCTACTCTTCATATAGTATTCTGTGAAAAGTATTATAGGTTTACTTTGTCCGTCTGTTCGATGTCACGTTTTGTGTCTGCATGATAATTCAAAAACGAGAAATGATATCAACTTGAAAATTTTAAGCAAAAATCAAGCTCTATAAGAGGACAAAGCCTATTGATTTTTAACAAATCTGATTAAAAATAGGGGGTTCAGATGGGTTAAAATTAAAAAAAAATTCTAAATTAAAAACGAAAAGCGTTATCAACATGAAATTTTAAGTAAAAATGAAGCTTTATAAGAAGATAAAGTATTGATACTGAAAAAAAAAAAATGAATACATTGGAAAGTTAAGGGTGGTTAAACTATTAAAAAACTAACTAACTCAAAAACGAAAAATGATATCAACTTGGAATTTTTAGCAAACATTAAGCTCTAAAAGGAGAAGTAACCCTTTACTTATAAAAAAATCTGATTAAATATGGGGGATTTAAAGGGGGTTGAAATAATAAAAAATAATCAAAGATGAAAAGCGATATCAACATGCAATTTTTAGTAAAAATCAAGCCCTATAAGGAGATGAGGCCTATTGATTGTGAAAACAATCTGGTAGAAAATGGGTAGTTAAGGGGGGTCTGTTAAACTGCGAAGAGTATCATTCAGAATGCCAATTATATATCTTTATTCTAGTTTGTATCTGTGTAATAGTATGTATTGTGATGGGACTGATCTTATAAAATAAACATTTAAAACATTTTAGTTCTTATTTTATTTGCCAATAAAAGGTATTTAAAAAATATATTTTTTATTTGACATCTGTGACAAATTGTGAAAACGATTAAACTTACAATAAAAACTGAGAAATGGTAGGTATAGTTTCATATAATATTTTTTACACAAAAATCAATGTCAATCTTTCTACATAACCTGATATATATTTAAAAATAATCTCAAATTATGAAGAACAGTCAGTTTACTAATTAATAATGTTTAGAGATGGTTTTCAATGTACTCAAAACAAAACAAATATTATACTAACTAAAATATTCATTTATTAATAGTTGTAGTGCTTGAAAACAGTATGATGTTGATAATAATAACTACACTTAATACAAACTCAAATAATAAAAAAACAGTGATATTGGCTCTTGTACAAAGTTTTGAACCGAACTTACAAATGAAAAAAATATTGGAAAAAGTGAACACCCATTTTAAATTACCACAAGTCGCTACTGCTTGAGGGGTTAAATATTTAACAAATTGTTACAGAAACTAGATGGATAACTGATACCTCAAGAACTCTGTTAGATCACATTATAGTCGTTAGTACTCTAAAAGTAATTAAACATAATATTTATAATTTCTATCATTTTGACCATAATGTAGTTGATTTAACTCTAAATTTAAATGTTTTAAAATCTTCCCATTTAATTAAATTATATCGTTATTTTTCAAATTTTAACTTGGACATTTTTAACAATGACGTCAGAACTTTCGATTGGAATGAAATTTATAATTTTTAGATATTGATAGCAAAATATATTTTTTTAATGCAGCAGTCATACGTCTGTTTGATATTAATGATACTATAAAAACTTCAAGAATTTCAAAATCATTTTTTCCCTGGATTACATCCAATATTAACATTTTATAAAACCTTCGTAATACAATAGAATACTGGAACTACTACAATTAATGTGTTATTTCTTAGCCAAAGACTCATATTTGTTATGTTATGAATATGTTTCAAGTTCCTAAGGCAATCTGGCCTGAAGAATAAGGGGACACTTATAGTTCGGTTGTCTCAACGGAATGTCGATTTTACTTGTTTTGTGTTTAATTTTGGGAATAGATTAATTTGATGAAAATATCGTGTTTTCTTACATATATGTTGGTAATTATTAATGAGTAAAGTTACGTGTATGTTTACTTGGTAGATTGACAAACAATAGCCCTATAGTTTAACAGAGGTGAAAAGATTGGCACTTAATCATTTAATTTTTACGGAAAATACTGTTGGATGATTTAAAATATTAGAAAGTCAATTAAATTATTTATTTTGGCTACAGTTTGTGGTAAAATAACTACATACTAGCTCTATTTTATCTATAAATAAAATTAGTCGCGCGCGCCAAAGTTACTTTCCATTTAAGAGCGCCAATAATGTCAAATTATGATAGCTTGCAGAAAACATCAACTTTGTAGTTAAGTTTCAAGCCCAAAAGCCTACTTTTTAAATACCTTCAACGTCCTCATTGTATACTGATAATTTTGATGAATTGACAATGTGTCAAAAAAGTCTTGTTCAATATTTTCGATAGCTCCTTTGTATACTAAGCAATGTTTGTAATCCCATGCAGCATGATCAACATTGATATTTAATTTTTGTGATTTGTTTAGAAAAGTACAGTTTATTCACATTTTTGCGCTACCCTAAGGACGATTTTGAAGATTATGATCTTGCGAACAAATTGAACATATTTGACATGATATACTGTAATCGATAGTTGGCAAAAAGATAGTAAAATATCTATAAGAAAAGCATTGTATTTATAAAAAATAATTATGTGATATTACAGGTTTGGCTGTTTTAAAATAATAATTCATTTATTTTATTACGTTACTTCAAATGAGAAAAATAATTTTTCCACTAAAACAGCAAAAAACTGTATACTTTTTGGTAGTACGTAATTATCCACTTACTTGTTGTGATCATAGAACACATAAAAATCACATAAACAGCACCTAAAATTACTTGAAGCTTCATATTGATGAATAATGATATCAAATAGAAGGTACGCCTAATTTATAGGTATATTCTTATCATAAGTTAAGTAAAAAAAAAAATAATCTTACTGGGCAATCAACTAAGATTTAAACAATATACAAAAAATTGATTACATATTATTTCTATATTCTAGGAACAAAAACACACACTCAAAAAACATTTACAATTCCAGATACGTCATAAAATGGAATGAATGTGATCCAAATAATTTGAAAATATATCGATTTTTCCATGTTATCACAAATTATTTATATAAAATATAATTATAGTGCCAAAGTAACACAAACTCAATCACACATAAAATAAATTTTATTATTAATAATAATAATAATAATAATAATAATAATAATAATAATAATAATAATAATAATAATAATAATAATAATAATAATAATAATAATAATAATAATAATAATAATAATAATAATAATAATAATAATAATAATAATAATAATAATAATAATAATAATAATAATAATAATAATAATAATAATAATAATAATAATAATAATAGTAGTAGTAGTTTATTGACCATAAATATACACTTTTGTACTTGACAGTCACAAGTTGAAATAAAATGACATTAAAGTATAAAAATAACAAAGTACAATAAAATTTAAAATGTAAAGAGGGCATATAGAATATTATAGATTATAGAATACATACATACATGTCAATAAATAAAAAGAGTGAAACAGTGTTTATATAACATACTGTGCTTATATACTAATAAAATAAAATAAAATAAAATATGGGTGTAGTTAGTGGAAATATAAATTATTTAAAAATAGTTAAAATATTCTGTTACGTTATAAAAACATTCATTTTGTAAAAAATCTTTGACGACACAATAAAATTCTTTACATGACATTTCTTTTATTTTTTTGTCCCTATTATTATTTAAAAACACATTATACAGTTTTATGTCCAGTTTGTTAACCTGTGATATGCGCAGTCTGCTTTGAGGAATTAAAAGATTCTCAGCATACCTTGTATTATAATTGTGTACATCAGAGTGTGTACCAAATTCAGCTTGATTTTTGTGGATAGCTACCATAGTTTCTAGAATATAGATACAAGGTAATGGGAGAATCCTGTACTTCCTGAAAAGAGGCCGACATGTAGCGTTATATTCAGCTGCTGCAATAATTCGTATTGCCGCTTTTTGTAATGTGAAAATTTTCATAGATGCATAACTGTTTCCCCAAAATACAATTCCGTATAGAATATGACTATGTACAATAGCAAAATATACTGTCCTGATTGATGTTTCATCAAGAAAATGACGCATTTGCCTAAGTGCAAATATTTGAGATGAAACTTTTGAACAGACGCCGTCTATGTGAGGTAGCCAAGTCAATCCCGCATCTAATGTCATACCTAGTATTTTAACTGGATCTGTTTTTTCTACTAATTTACTAGTTGTGAAGATAATATTTTGAGTTTTTGTCTCATTTAGTTTGAGTTGGTTAGCATCAAACCACTTTCTGGCTACACTCATGCAACATATATTCAAAGTTTCATCTCCTCTATTTAAGATTGTGGTGTCATCAGCGAATAAGATGCTAATGCCAGGCTTGATATTTTCTGGTAGATCATTTATGTATATTAGGAATAAAAGGGGTCCCAGGACTGAACCCTGTGGTACACCTCTAGAAACATGATTCATATTTGAATTTATATTACCATAACTGACATATTGCAACCTATTCGCCAAATAAGAATTGAATAAATCTAACTCTTTTCCTCTTACTCCATAGAATTCGAGTTTCATTAATAGTATATTACTGTTGACACAGTCGAAAGCCTTGGTGAGATCACACAATATAGCAGATGTATTTATACCTTCATCAAAGCCTTCAACTGCACCATCAATCAGAGCTGCTACCGCTGCAACTGTAGATTTATGCTTTCTGAAACCAAATTGAGAGGACGATAACAGTTTTTTATTTTCAAAGTAACTAATCAGTTTTTCTTTTATAATAATTTCAAAAATTTTTCCTATTATAGGTACAATAGCGATGGGTCTGTAGTTGTCAGGGTTTTTACTGTCACCTTTCTTATAGATGGGGATGACTTTACTTATTTTCAATTTATTAGGCCAGGTACCTTCATTTATACATTTATTGTATAGTATATTGAGTGGTTCAACCAACGCATTCACGGCAGACTTTATCATGGGACTACTGAGACCATAGTAATCAAGACACTTGGAATTCTTTAACTTTAAAATTGCTTGTCGAACATCGGAATTAATAATAGCGCTCATGAAGAACGAGTAAGATGGTTTTTTAATTTTGTTTAAGAATTCTTCTGGATTTGTATTTAAATGTTGAATTGAAAACGATATTTTATCTGCGATAGTGGCAAAAAACGAATTTAGTTCATCCGGTGTCACATCAGGTATTCTGTTGACATTAGCATTAGTGTGCCTTTCGGCATTTACTAGTTTCCATATAGTTTTGCTCCGGTTTTCTGAACTATATATCAAATTGGTGTATGCTTTACGTTTTGCACATCTAATTTGTCTTTTGTAATAACTACGGGACTCGATATACTGTGTCCAATCATCTAACAAATTTGTATGTCTAAAACGAGTTCTATTTACAAAAACTTGTTTACGAAGTCTACGCAGCTCCTCGTTGAACCACTTAACCTCCCTAGTTCTGTTATGAAAAGTTTTAATAGGAAAACAGAGCTCAACTTGATAGGATAATATATCAATGATTTTGCTACAAATGTTATTTGCATCCTCAATTTCAAAGTCTTGATTCTGCCATTTGATTTCATTTAAATGTTTTGCAAATTGATTTATTCGAACGTCATTTATTAATCTATTTTTGTTGTAATCGTTATTAGAAGATATATTTAATTTATTTATAATCATATAAATCCCAGAGTGATCAGAAATGTCGGGGTCATGGACTCCTACATTTATATCACTTATACTAAAATTTGTGATTACATTATCGAGGCAGGATCTGGAGTTAGATGTAATCCTCGTGGGTTCATGAATGTAATGTTTCATTCCAAACATGGACAGTATATTTCGCGTATCTTTAGAGCTTTCTGTGTTTGCATCAAGGTCCAGATTTATGTCACCGACTATACTTATATATTTATATTTTTTAGAGAGAATATATAACATATTTAAAAGTTTCTCTTTATAAATTTCAATGTTTCCGTGACTAGAAGACCTATATGTAGTAATTAAAATGGAATTCTTGTCAATAAATTCTGCTGCACAAAATTCTGCGTGCTGAGGCACACAGAACTCAGTACAGTCAATATTTTTCATTTTTAAATTTGCTTTAGAATATATTGCCACACCTCCATGAGCTTTAAGTTTTCTACAGTAAGACGATATTAACTGAAAATTGTTGATTTTAATTAATGGCAAAGTATCAGTAGTGAGCCAGTGCTCAGATATACAAAAAATATCAAATTTAAGCTGATCCAACATTAAATTTATTTCTACTAATTTATTTGACAAACTCCGGACATTGATGTGAAACACGGAACAAACATTATTTGACAAATTAGATTTTAGCAAATTATTAAACATATTTTTATTTTTTAAATTTAAATTTAACTCCAGAGCAGGAAAATCTTGAAGCAAAACACCTTCAGTATTACAATAGTTGATGTTCTCTGGATGCTTGAAGTTTTGTTTATTTAATACATTAAGGACGAAAATTATTGTTCATATTGTTTGCTTGTTGACGAAACCTTAATGGAGTGGCAAATTCATTTATCATGACCTTGTCTGGCCATATTTCTGGTACTAGTAGTTGCTGATAATCGTTGATAGGTGCCGATACTTTAAAAGAAGCGTAATCATCTGGAAAGCGTGAATTCAGTTTTTCCACCTTGATGGACGGTATAACACCTTTCAAGTACGTAAGCAATTCTTGTTCAGAGGTCGCCGGATCCATATTAGTCACGTGCAGATGTTTGTAAACTGTACGAATAGCAGCTTTCAAGGAACAGTTAGTCGTATTTCCATTGCCCGTCATTAAATTTCTATTTCTCCTTCCACTTCTGCCGGAAGTATAATAATTGTTAAAATTATTAGCTTCAGATTGTGGCGAATTAGCGTTCTTATTCACATATCTATCGCATATGGCGTGAGCTTGGGCGTTGTATACAGCTTGCGATACTGCATGAGTTGATATTCTAGCGTTTGGATTGTTAACAGGAGGTTGAAGTGTTGTAACAACAGGAATTTGATTTTTGTGATCAGGATTATTCGAAGATTTAAGAAAATGTATTTGTTCTTGAAGAGCACATATTGCAATTTTCTGATTTTCAATTACTAAATCCTTTTGTTTGATAATCTCCTCTAAATATTTAATTTTGATCTTATCAACAGATTCATTTTCCGATGAATTTTCCAAAGTGTTAATAGGTTCTTCAACTGGGTCCGTATTACAACAATTTGAAGTTTTGTTATCTATAATAATAACATTCTTTAGCATTTTAAGACAGCTATTGTGAGACATTACACCACAAATAATACATTTTGGCCCAGTAGTAACCGAATTTCCACATCTCTTACATTTATTCATTTCTTTACGAATAGAATTCACTAATATCAACCGATTAAAGTAAAAATGTAATAAAGTCTAAAATTAATTGCAAATTACTAAAACCGTGGTGGAATAAACCTCAGAAAAGCCGAATATAGGTACTATTTACTCACTGTTTTTATATGATTATTGGTTTTCGTTGTCTAAACTGAAGCAAAATAATAATAATAATAATAATAATAATAATAATAATAATAATAATAATAATAATAATAATAATAATAATAATAATAATAATAATAATAATAATAATAATAATAATAATAATAATAATAATAATAATAATAATAATAATAATAATAATAATAATAATAATAATAATAATAATAATAATAATAATAATAATAATAATAATAATAATAATAATAATAATAATAATAATAATAATAA